CTCCTACATTTGCGCAGGTTGAAAAGTTGACACGAAGATCTTTGATTTTGGAAATCACATGTGCCGTCGATCTCGAGGGTGCAGAAGAGTCTGAGGTCTTCGGGCCCTTGAGGGTGTTGAACAAGGTAGATTATGATGGTTTAATGCTTCAAGGCTCTCGGACCCAAGCTAGCTAGATCACTCCGCCCTGATTCTAACGCCCACATGGAATCGATATTTGGGGTCTCAGGAGTCATCCTCGGGTCCTTAAACCGGAAACTCTACACCCCGAGAATCTCCTCACTCAGCCCGACACCCAAGTCATCCCAGAACGGCACCCTAACCCTAAACCCTAAACCCTAAACCCTAAGCACCTTCAAAAATGGGCCAGGTCTGCATGCCCAAGGATCTTTGCAGCCGCCCCAGAGGACTCCATGAAAGGACTTAGGGCACTTACAGTGCGTCTTTCGATTCATCCGATGTTAGGGTTTGGGGTTTAGGGTTTAGTTTTTTTCTCCGAAAATTCCCTGTTTAGTTGGTGCTTGAATCAGGGTGCTTTCTGGCCTTGACCCTTCACCGCCGATGTGGACCCTAAACCCCCTAAACCCCCTAAACCCCCTAAACCCCCTAAACCCCCTAAACCCCCTAAACCCCCTAAACCCCCTAAAGCCCCAAACCCCCTGAACCCGCTAAACCCCCTGAACCCCCTAAACCCCCCAAAACCCTAAACCTTTTGCTTGTGTGCCATGCATGCCGGACGCGCAGTGGCAGCTGAGCAGCTAGACGCGTCGGTCTTCCGCAGCTTCTGCCGAGCATGCGCTTGAGCTATGCCGGAGCTGAGAAGCTCAGCCCCAGACTCCCCAAGCCCTAAAGGGGTTTAGGGTTTAGGGGTTAGGGTTTAGGGTTTAGGGTTTAGGGTTTAGGGAGTCTGCCCTGGGACGTTCTTGGTTCCCAACACTAATGGGAGGCTTTAGAGTTTCCTCCCTTTCAGCCTTGGTGCAAATCCCCATCCCACAGGAGCTTCTTGTCCCAGAGTCCGATAGAGGTCTCAGGTGGGATTCAAGAATTCTGGTGCTTTACTGCAACTTTAGATCCTTAGCCTTTTGGGCTCTATTGGGTTTCTTAATAAGGCAGCTAAAAATGTAATTTATAGCTACCCTCCTACGTGCAGCCAAGCAAGAATTCGGGTTTTGGGGCTTCTGTGCTTTAATGGGTCCTGGATCGGGTACGTCGGGTGTTGGTTCTTGGGTTTCGGATACCTACTCGGCTAGCTTCCCTAAACCCTAAACCCTCAACCCCTAAACCCCTCAACCCCTCAACCCCTCAACCCGAAACCCGAAACCCTACCTGGATCCCAGCTACGCCGAGGCCGTGGACTCTCCGGAGAAGCCGTTTGCCCGCAGCTGGGCCGCAAAGTCGATTCGCGGTCAGAGGTTCGGGGCATTCGGAGCTTATAAGGCGCAGAGAAATGGTCAAATTCCCTAAACCCATATTCCCTAAACCCTAAACCCGAATCCCAAAGCCCATCCCAGGCTATGGGCAACAGTGTCCCGGAGCGCTAAAAAGGACCCAACTTCGCTTTTTGCCTTCTGTTTGCTCCACGGACATGAAAATGAGAGTTTTAGGGTTTAGGGCTTAGGGTTTAGGGTTTAGGGCCAAGGTTTAGGGTTCAGGGCTCAGGGTTCATGAGTTTATCCAATTTATCCTAGGTGGGGTTGTGAGCAGGGTTTAGGGTTTAGGGTTTCGGGTTTAGGGCCTTGTGCATTGTCGTCTTGCATTGGGCATCCGACCAAAACAAGTGTTCAGAACCCCGCTCACTCTGTCCTCCCGCTTCTCGTTTGCAGGAGAATCGCCGCCACCAGTGATCGCAAGCATGGCTGCAACACGCGGCCATCCGACCTGCAGTATCCTGAACAGCCCAGGTCTGCGTCGGAAAGTTTAGCGGATGGCTGAAAGTTGGCAAATCAGCGCTGCATGGCCTTTGCAGCAGTCAATCGGGGCATGGCTCAAAGACCCTCAACCCCACATCCTAAGCCCGGAGCCCTAAAGATCCCTAAAGAGCTTCAACTTCTCCCTAAAGATCAACTGGCAACTTGATAATTTCCAGTCGCTCAGTCCTCAGGGATCGATCTTGGGGGGCTTATGAGGTCCCCACGTCCGTATAGCATCCCCTGTAGCCACATGGGCCGACGCCGGTCCTGTGGCCAAATCTCTAAGAACCGAGGTCGGCTTACTATAGGCTGCCCAGCCAAGGTATGACACCCTGAACCTCAGGAAAGGCCATCCCTTGCCGGGCGCTGCTTCTCACCCCCCGCGAGTTGGGGATGTCTCAACATCAAGCTCTCACTCACCTTTCAGCTGCTGGGTAGATACCCCAAGCCACACACCACAAGGCCTGAACATTTTTTTCAGCAAGCCCTGGTGCCCGCAACGCAACTTCATTCGGTGCTTGTGAGTTAGAAGCCTTTTGGGGAGCGTGAGCTGTTCGAAGCGACCATCTCTGTCAGAATGGGACATGTAGGAGACGATGGGCAGGCTGGCACCATTCACAATCCAAAAGAACCCTACACATCCGTCACTAGCCCATAAGTTGAATTGTGTAAGCGAAAGCTCATCAGAACTTGTACTTTCGTACCAAGAATCACGAAGGCATGAGCAAAATGGGAACAGGGTGCTTTATTCCCTTGACTCCCTTCCATCTTGACTCTTACAGAACGCCCAGCAGGGCTGACCACCCCAAAACTCGTCTCAATGTCCAGGCCCTCAACCCAAAGCACGAATGTCCAGGCTCCCCTTATTGCCTCAACCCCAGCCCCCCGAATTCTTCTCTAGAAGCCCCTGCCTTTCCTTCCCCATGGGGCGGCCCGCACGCCTTGAAAAGGGGTCCGGGACCGCTTCAGGCCTGGGTCGGAAGACGCTGAGACACGGTGGAGCAGCGGGAACCCTTTTCCCCTGAGCCTTCCCTGAATACACCCTAAGCCTCACTATAACCCTATAACTTACCTATAACCCTATGACCCGATAACCCAAATTCTGACCCTAGAAATCTTATAGCCCTATACCCTATAGCCCTAAACCCCAGAACCCAAATTCGAGCCCTAAACCTTTCACAAGGATCCCCGAGACGCCTTGGAGGCTGGGGTTTCACAGGCTCACCTGGCTTGAGACATCGGACTTTCCACCCTCGACAAGCAAAAGGCAGCGCGAGCTTGGATGGAGGAAGGCTGAGGGTGTAGGCTTCAGAGGTTCGCATACATAAGTCCTCCCCTAACCCGAAACCCCAAACCCCAAACCCTAAACCCTAAACCCTGAACCCTGAACCCTGAACCCCAAACCCTAAACCCTAAACCCCCCTAAACGAGGCCTCGTCAGTGCCCCATGATGGTCTCATGCTCCAGCAGAGTCTGACGCAGGCTTCGAGGAAGCCGAGGTTCACAGGGCGCGCGCGCCCGATCCAAGAGTACCCCCAGAACGCCTTAAGGGGGCCTTATAGGGGGTTTAGGGTTTAGGGTTTAGGGTTTAGGGTTTAGGGCTGTTCGGTGGTTCAGGGGGTCGGGTTGAGGGCTTAGGGCCTTGCATGGGGCCTCGGGGTTCCACATGTTGGGGCAGTCCATTCTTCAATAGCCTGAGGCCCGACGCCCCCAAGAGTGAACGGTCACCGGGTTTAGGGTTTATGGTTTAGGGTTTAGGGTTTAGGGTCTGGTTTCGGGCTTGTTGGTTTCGGCAAGAGGCGGAGAGAAGTACACGCCGTCCTGGCTCAAGTCTGCAACTCTCAATGCAGAGCTGGTGAGCATGTGGCTCGGCGGCGCTTGGGGGTTTCGAATTGAGGGGCTACCCTAAACCCTAAACCCTAAACCCTAAACCCTAAACCCTAAACCCTAAACCCTAAACCCTAAACCCTACACCCTAAACCCTAAACCCTAAACCCTAAACTTTAAACCCCAAACCCTAAACCCTAAACCCTAAACTTTAAACCCTAAACTTTAAACCCTAAACCCTAAACCCTAAACCCTAAACCCTAAACCCTAAACCCTAAACCCGAACTCCTGCCCTGCCCAAGTCTCCCAGCAACCCTCCGAAAAATTGGGGGGCACGCCGCGGTCCGTTGGGGAGGGTGTCGGGCTTCTGGAAGAGGTCAAAGGAAGGCAAGTAAATTTGAAGGCCGGGCCTTACCAAGAGCCCTAAGCCACAAACTGGACAGCCAAAGGCATGAACGGTGAGCAGCAATATACCGACCACAGACCACTCTAAACCCTAAACCCTAAACCCTAAACCCTAAACCCTAAACCCTAAACCCTAAACCCTAAACCCTAAACCCTAAACCCTAAACCCTAAACCCTAAACCCTAAACCCTAAACCCTAAACCCTAAACCCTAACCCTAAACCCTAAACCCTAAACCCTAAACGCCTTAAGGTGAGAAGCTTGAAGCCAAAGCACACGGCCGAGAGGCCGAGGGTTTGGGCTGGTCTGGGCCCTTCGATGATCTTCGATGTGTAGTTGAGTTGATTCAGGGTTTCGGGTTTCGGGTTTCGGGTTTAGGGTTTAGGGTTTAGGGTTTAGGTTTCGGGTTTAGAACATTTCGTGGTGACAGACAAAAATCTATACGAGGCCCAAATCCTTTCTGAGCTTGACCTAGTCCTAGCGATTTGTGGGAGTTGTCCTGGGAGTCGGCCGAAGGGTGCTTGCAGCTCAGCACGTATAAGTCTGAGCCCCGGAGCTCCAAGCTTGCAATTCGGGATCTTGAGCCAGCCTTCTTTGGAAGAGAAGAGCAGACGGGAACGAAGGATGAGCGACTTTCGAGAGGATTTTTGCTGTGCTTCAGGGCCTCCCCAGGTTTTTGCTGGAGGGCCTTCCGGGTTTCACACGCGGCAGTGGCTTACTGGGGGTGTTGAAGGCTTCAGGGTCACCCGCAAACAGCGTTGCATAACCAGCCCGGCGAGTTCCTCAGAGGCTTTCGGGAGGTAGGCCATCTCAAGGGCTGCCCCCAAAGTCTGCAAAGACTGCGCGCAAGGGCGCGGCCATGAGCCCGGATGACATGGACCTGGTCTGGCCGACGGCTAAGGCCGCAGAGGGTTCGCAAAGCCAGCGAAGCACCCCCCTTTTAACCCTTCCCCAAACCCGAAAATTTGACACAACCCCCAAAACTCCTGAGCCAGACAGGCTCAGCTCTATTTGTCCGAGGCTGCGCAGGCGCCAGAGCGCAGGAATTCTCTGGGTTTTGAGGGTTCGGGGTTTTGGAGGGTTGGGTTTGGTGGGTTTAGCACCTGCTGGGAAATTTTTGCGTTTGGTGCTTTGGGGCTTGTCCCGCAGGACTCTCAAAGGCACTTCAATGTATTTGGGGTCAGCTGGGCTGTGCTTCGTGCCAGGGCTGAGAACCTACAACCATCCGCGGAATTCCGACGCATTCCGACCTGTTCAAGCTGGCTCTAAATGCAGAACTGCTAGTTGCTTAAGAACCCCCCCCCCACAAAAAGCAAAATGATCCTCCCTATAGGGGTTCTTACAGCGAGAGCCCCCAAAGTCTAAACCTCAAGTCATCAAGACCCAAATTTGGCAACCGAAAGTCTCCGACCTCCAAAACCTGTGGAAGCTCAGTTGAATTGTGCGGTGTTAGGGTTTAGGGTTTAGGGTTTAGGGTTTAGGGTTTAGGGTTTAGGGTTTAGGGTTTAGGCTTTGAGAAGGTTCAGAGAGGCATTTAACAGCCCGTGAAGGTAAAGAAGCTGATCGGCCCGGAGAAGATCCGGCGCAACAAGGAGCCTTTTGGGGTCTGGGAGCCAGGGATTCCCCCCCTAGACCCTAAACTCTGTAACCCTAAACCCTAAACCCTAAACCCTAAACCCTAAACCCTAAACCCCAAACCCTAAACCCTAAACCCTAAACCCAAAGCCCCCTCCCCCAGATTTACAACAGGATTTTCAACAGCGTTAGAACGAAAGGTTTGGCTTTGGCCGATACCACACACGGCCCCAGCTTTGTAAACGTTTGCAAACACCCCGTAACACCGTCCCCCCCCTCCTCTGCTTTTGGGAGGGGTTCAACTGTGCATTGGGGGATAGTCGGGATAGTCGCATTCCTGAGGTTTAACTGCTTAGTGGGGGTGGGGGGGGAGGCAGGCTTTGGAAGAACCCCTAAACCCTAAACCCCAAACCCCAAACCCCAAACCCTAAACCCTAAACCCCCGTTTGCAGAGAGCTCTCATGCTGGAGGTTGAGTGGGACCTGCCTCCGACCTGAGCCCTGATTGCCAACAGAATCCTGAGTGAAACCCGAGAAGGGTTTAGGGTTTTAGTGTCTAGGGTCTAGGGTCTAGGGTCTAGGGTTTAGGGTTTAGGGTTTAGAGTTTAGGGTTTAGGGTTTAGGGTTTAGGGTTTAGGGTATACGGACATCTGCCTGAAAACGGCTGCAAGCTTTCTGGAGGCCAGAACCATGACTGCGGTTTAGTAGGGAATGAAGGAGTGAGGTACCCTAAACCCTAAACCCTAAACCCTATATCCCCCTACATCTACCCTTTCAGGATGCGGGGCTTCAGGATGTGGGGCTTAAGGTTTCGCAGTTGGGGGCTCAGAACTCCAGCCGCCACCCAAAAAGTGGCAATCTCCACAAGCGATCAAACTGCCCTAAACCCTAAACCCGAAACCCTAAACCCTAAACCCTAAACCCCAAACCCCAAACCCCAAACCCTAACGAGCCCGGTGCCACTTCGCACCAGGATGCACTTAGAGAGCTGCGCTGCTTTCAAGAGATCCTGGGGGACCTCCATGCCCGGGGCCTTGGGGTTTGCTGTAGGGTTTAGGGTTTAGGGTTTAGGGTTTAGGGTTTAGGGTTTAGGGTTTAGGGTTTAGAGTTGTTTCGAACCCTGTTTGGGGTTTCGGTCAGCGCGCTCCGCTGAAGGAAATGTCCGATCATTCGGGGCAGGGGTGCCGCCTGCTTCTCCCGATGGAACCCTAAACCCTAAACCCTAAGCCCTACACCCTAAACCCTAAACCCCAAACCTGTCCAATGAAGACCTGCTGCAGCCTGATGCAGCCTCCCGAAAGCGCCTCAGCAGCTTGCAAAACTCCCTGCCCCCTAAGTCCTAGCTTGCGCATGGTAAACTCTACCCCTAAACCCTAAAGCCTAAACCCTAAACCCTAAGCCCTAAACCCCAAACCCTAAACCCTAAACCCTAAGCCGTAAGCCCTAAGCCCTAAACCCTAATTCCCAAACCCTAACCCTAAACCCTAAACCCTAAACCGAAAACCCAAAACCCAAAACCCAAAGTGCCGAGGCCGGGCAATTCGGCCGAGCGCCGGAGCGACGGGCGGCCGCCGAGGCAGAGTTTACAAAGTCATGCACTCTGCGGTGGAGGGCTTTGGAGGGGCTTGAGGGTTGGGATCCCCCTTATACTAGCAGTCCTTAATGGGGATTATAGTACCCCCTCTCCCCTCTCTCTCTCTCCCTCTCTCTCTCTCTCGTTCTCTCTCTCTTTCTCTCTCTCTCTCTCTCTGTCTCTCTCTCTCTCTCTCTCTCTCTCTCTCTCTCTCTCTCTCTCTATCTTCCCTCAAAAGAAGCCTTAGCCTCCAACCCCAAGCTGTCTAGCTTTCAGCATCCCGCTTAGCATCCCCCCGAAGCCATGGCTCGAGGCAGCCGCCCGAAGGTGGGAAGACCTCGGCGCCGTGGCCCAGAAGCAAAACCTGCCACCCGAGGCGCTTTGGGGTTTGGGGTTTAGGGTTTGGGGTTTGGGGTTTGGGGTTTAGGGTTTAGGGTTTAGGGTTTAGGGTTTAGGGTGAGGGGAGCTGCCGGGCAACGAAGCCCAAGGCACATAGCAGAGTCGAACTCAGCAAGGCCCGGTCTCAGAACATATGCAACACCACCGCCACTGATCGAAAAAAGAACCGGGCCCTCCGGTGCAAAACATTTAGGGTTTAGGGTTTAGGGTTCAGGGTTTAGGGTTTAGGGTATAGGGTTTCGGATCGCTTCTGGTTGAGGGGTTAGGGGTTTCGGGAGCTCGGGTGCTGCCCTCCAGCTCGCCGTGGCCAGGCGTTGGCAGCTTTGTGCGAAGCCCCGCTGGCGCCTTTTGCTTTAGGGTTTAGGGTTTAGGGTTTCGGGTTTCGGGTTTCGGGTTTCTCTTGGTACCGTTACAGTCGATTTCATGTAAGATGTTTGGGGTTCAGGTTTGGGAGGCGCGTCTGGCGTGCTTGTGGTACCCTGAAGCCTCAGTCAGAATTCAAGGTCAAACCGAAGCCTCAGAATTCCAGGTCCAATCCCTGAGCCCGAACCCTACCCTCCACAACCCAAACGCGAAGAACAGCTCGGGGTCCACGCGGCAGAGGGCCCCTCAATGCTCCAAGACGCTCGAAGACTCAAGCCTCAAAAAGCCTCCACTCCATCTAATCATCAAATCCCCAAAGCCCTTTGGTTCAGGGCGTTTGGGGTTTGGGGTTCTGAACCCCAAACCCCAAACCCCCAAACCCCCAAACCCCCAAACCCCCAAACCCCCAAACCCCCAAACCCCCAAACCCCCAAACCCCCAAACCCCCAAACCCCCAAGCCCCAAACCCTAAACCCTAAGCCCTCAACCGAACACCCCTAAACCCTAAACCCTAACCCGTATACCCCTAAACCGTAAGCCCTAAACCCTAAACCCTAAACCCTAAACCCTAAACCCTAAACCCTAAACCCTAAACCCTAAACCCTAAACCCTAAACCCTAAACCCTAAACCCTAAACCCTAAACCCTAAACCCTAAACCCGCCCACCATCCCTCTCACTCTAGAGGTGAGTGGGCGCCGTCGAGCGCTCAGCGAGACCACGCAGGCCCGATCTCGGCTGATCGGGCCTGCAGCCACACACCCCTGAAGGGGTCGCCAAGCTTGGTCGCCAAGCATAGTCTCTAGTATATCACATTACCCTAAAACCGAGCCTTTGCTCTCGGAAGGTGTCGCCCTTTAAAACGGATACCCCCCCCCCTATCCGAATTCGATTTCGGGGGGGCCTGGGCCTTTAAACCGGATACCCCCCCCCCCTATCCGAAGTCAATTTCGGGGCTGCTCGGGCCTTTCAACAGGATACCCCCCCCTATCCGAATTCAATTTCGGGGGGGCCCGGGCCTTTAAAACGGATACCCCCCCCCCCTATCCGAAGTGAATTTGGGGCTGCCCGGGCTTTCAACAGGATACCCACCCCCCCCCCCCCCCTCTCCGAATTCAATTTCGGGGGGGCCCGGCCTTTAAAACGGATCCCCCCCCCCCTATCCGAAGTCAATTTGGGGCTGCCCGGGCTTTCAACAGGATACCCCCCCCCCTTTCCGAATTCAATTTCGGGGAGCCCGGGCCTTTGAAACGGACACCCCCCCCCCCTATCCGAAGTCGGTCACGGGGGGGGTCGCATTTTTCCATTTTCAAAGCAAAACAGTATTGGAGACCCCCCCTTGGTCAAAACTCTGACCCCCCCTTGAAGGGGGAAGTTTGCCTTCACAATGGAGCTTTTTTGTGCCAAGCCGAGCCTCTGTTGGGCTCCGGACCATTTCTTTGCCTTGGCCTTCTAACGGACCATTTTGCGGGTTGTCCGGGGCCCCCGGGACAGGTTATCCCGGGGCCGCCAAAAAGGTTGTCCTGGAGCATCCCGGGCCGTCCAGAAGAGAAGGCCCTCCGGCCGAAGACGTCCCCCAGCGCAAAACCTGAATTTTCTCCTGCAAGCTTATATGAAGGCACCTTTCTAGCAACAGGTCTTTCGCCATGCAGCCTTGACATTCCGGCCTAACAGAAACAATGAGAAGGCCCTCCGGCCGAAGACGTCCCCCAGCGCAAAACCTGAATTTTCTCCTGTAAGCTTCTAGACATGACTTTCACAAGGCACCTTTCTAGCAACAGGTCTTTCACCATGCGCTCACCATGCGCCCCCAGCGCAAAACCTGACTTTTCTGCCGGGTTTATTTCCACTGTCTTTTTCAAGGCATCTTCTTCGATATTACCACCCCGGCATGGAGAATAGAAGCAATGAGAAGGCCATCCGGCCGAAGACGTCCCCCAACGCAACATCTGAATTTTATCTCCGGAGGTTCTCTTTCTAGGGCAGCTTCTTAAATGTTACCATGCAGCAAGGCATCTTCATAGCAAATTTCGTAACATCAAGAAACATATTGGATACTAGTCCGAAGTACAGCATTGAGTGCAGGAGTGTTTGAATGTGGGCTGGCTTTGGTTCGGCTGGCTCTGGTTTGTTTCGCTGCAAGTAGTGTTTGGGTGGCCTTGGGGTGGGCACGTCTGCACACAACTGCGTACAGCTGACCCGTGCTGCACCCTAAACCCTAAACCCTAAACCCTAAACCCTAAACCCTAAACCCTAAACCCTAAACCCTAAACCCTAAACCCTAAACCCTAAACCCTAAACCCTAAACCCTAAACCCTAAAACCCTAAACCCTAAACCCTAAACCCTAAACCGTCTGGATCCGGTCATGCCAGGCCCCTCAGAGCATCCTCTCTTTTGTGCACTGTGTCCGAGGGTTCCCCCCAGGCGGCTGCTTCAGCTGTGGGGCGGGTTTAGGCTGAGGGTTTAGGGTGTTGGGTGTTGGGTTTAGGGTTTAGGGTTTAGGGTTTAGTTCAGAATTTAGGGTTCAGTGTTTAGGGGGGCCCAGGTTTTTTTTTTGCAAAGGTGTGGCTCGGGCCTGTCCCCTTGCAAAGGTGTGGCTTGGCTTGGCTTGTCCCCTTGCAAAGGCTTGGCTTGGCTTGGCTTGGCTTGGCTCTGCTTGGCCTGGCTTGGCTTGGCTTGGCTTGGCCTGGCTCGTCTTGGCTTGGCTCGGCTTGGCTCGGCTCGGCTTTGCTCGGCTAGGCTTTTCTCGGCTCGCCTCGGCTTGGCTTGGCTCGCCTCGGCTTGCCTCGCTCGGCTGAAGTTGGCTTTGCTTGGCACGGCCTTGGCCTGCTTGGCTCGCCTCGGATTGGCTTGGCTAGACATTGCTCCGTGTTGAACCCCGCTCTTTCGTGCGAAGCTTTCTTCAAAGAACATATGTTACAGTATTTGCAGCCTCTGCAAACGCAGAAATGCTGCAATTTACGGTATTCGCAGCCCCGAACCAAGAACCAAGGCCGAGCCACACCTTTGCAAGGAAACATGGCTGAGCCACACCTTTGCAAAAAAAGAAACCTTCCGCCGGTTTAGGGTTTAGGGTTTAGGATCTAGGGCTTAGGGAACTGGAAGCCTGATAGTTCGGCCATTTGACATGGAGGGTAGGGTTGTGGGAAGGTTTAAGGTTTAGGGTTTAGGGAAGTGTTGAAGGTCTTAGAGGCGTAGGAGAGATGAAACTTAAGAGCATCACAGCCTGCTGTGAAGAGCTTCATGTGCACGGAAGCCATGGTGTAAAGTCAACGAGCTCAGATGAGCTCTGCGAGGAATCACATACGCAGAGGTCGAGAAGGCTAGATCAAAACCCATGACCTTCAGCAGGCAAACAAGTGCTCAAAGCAAGAGCTTAAACAGAACCAAATCTTCCCAAGATAATTTTTATCACGTCCGTCACAAGCCAAAACAAACAAAATCCAAATAGACGACTGAAGCTTAATCTAAGTCATAAGCTTGTTCCTGTTTCACAAAGTCGGCCATATCATGTTGAATAAAATCCGCGGAAGAGCGCGATGTTTCCCTAAGACCTTGGAGAAGTAGGGACCTGCTAACCCTGAAACTGTGCGTCACGGTGATGAAACATTAGAGCCGCAAGGCACAACATTCAGGGTCTCGGGGTCATTTTGTTTGGGTTTCTGGAGAGGGCATCAAGATCTCCTGCGAAGCATACCACCGTCTAGCATTGCTTAAGACCCCCCCCAAAAAAAACATGTAGAAGATACGAATTCCTATGTTGCCTTTATTAAGATGAATATCTGTTATTTTTTGGGGAAGTTGTAGCCCTCAACCCTAAACCCTAAACCCTAAACCCTCGATGGAAGGCTGCTCTCAGATGGCCTCTCCCCTGGACGATGAGCATGCGACCTGCGCATCCTCCACCAGGGCGCCCAGCACCGTCGGCGACCCAGAAGGGAAGCTCTGCACGGGTTTAGGGTTTAGGGTTTAGGGTTTAGGGTTTAGGGTTTAGGGTTTAGGGTTTAGGGTTTAGGGTTTAGGGTTTAGGGTTTAGGGTTTAGGGCCCCTCAGCCGTGGAATTTGGCAGATGTTTCCATATGTTTCAACGTCGCTTAGATATGGACTGCGGGTCGTCACAGAGGGTGGGAGTAAGGCTTCGCTGTGCTTGCAGTGGATTCTTGCAGTTGGGGTCTGGTTGTTAGTTTAGTTCATCGGCGTGGATGATGAGCTTCCTGGGATGTTGGCCTGCGCTAAAGGTCGGCTAGGACAAAAGACAGGAAGGAGGGAGGAAGGAAGCCAAAGGGTTAAGGTTTAGGGTTTGGGGTTTAGGGTTTAGGGTTTAGGTTTTAGGGTTTAGGTTTTAGGGTTTAGGGTTTAGGGTTTAGGGGAGGAAGGAAGCAGAGGAACATAGCAACACAGGGAAGCCAACAAGCTGCGGCTCGGCTGTCCCTGCCAACCCCCCCTGAAGGGGTTTAGGGTTTAGGGTTTAGGGTTTAGGGTTTAGGGTTTAGGGTTTAGGGTTTAGGGTTTAGGGTCAGGGTTTAGGGTTTAGGGTTTGACTTGAAATGACAATGAAGACATGCCCTGATCCAAAACGTCTGCTGCACAGCTCAGGTAAAATAGGAGCCGGGCCTGGGGATGTCTGGGGTGTAGGGTCACACGGGATGTCAAAAAGGGGGATTTAGTTCACAGGTCTTGAGAGGGTCTCTTAAACCCGAAACTTCAAACCCTAAACCCTAAACCTTAAACCCTAAAACCTAAACCCTAAACCCTAAACCCTAAACCCTAAACCCTAAACCCTAAACCCTAAACCCTAAACCCTAAACCCTAAACCCTAAACCCTAAACCCTAAACCCTAAACCCTATCTGAGGTGGCCATACACCAGGAGGAGACGCAAAGCTTAGCCACGACCGAGGCGCGCCGGAAGGTTTTGCATCAGCGGTCTGTATGCCCCACGCACTCCTGCACTCTGAAAACCCCTATAAGCTCCCTAAGCATCCCTAAACATCCCTCAGCATCCCTGAACATCCCTAAACATCCCTGAACATCCCTAAAAATTCTCCCTCAACATGCCTGAATGTCCCTAACACATCCCGAAGCTCAAATCGTAAGGATTCTGGGCCGTCTTAGGCATGTAGGCTGCGGTGCGAACGGCTTTTGGGGCTTACCAGCCTCTAGGGTCGTTGGGGACTTTGGGGTGTTTGGGTTTTGCTATGGGTTTAAGCCTTAAACTTAAACTCTAAGGTGAGGAAAGTATTGGCTTGTTTTTTTTTTGGGGGGGGGGTGGGGCGTGGTTGAAGGAATGTTGGAGCTGTTCTGGGTGTGTGAGCAGCCTTGAGGAGCTTACCAGTTGGCAGGGGTTAACCTTTTTTCACATGCTACCCCTTATACTAACAGCGCTCAATAGGGATTAAAATGGGGGGGGGGGTACTAGATCCCTAGTAACCCTAAACTCTAAACCCCCAAACCCCAAACCCTAAACCCTAAACCCTAAACAACTGTTAGCATAAGGGGGAACATCCCACCGCCCTTTGTTGCCCTGAAGCTTGGAGTCTTTTTATTTGGCCTTTCGGGCCCTGCAGCTCGGCTTCCCTGCCTCCCTTGTAGCCAATGTGGTTTAGGGTTTAGGGTTTAGGGGTTTAGGGGTTTAGGGGTTTAGGGGTTTAGGGGTTTAGGGGTTTAGGGGTTTAGGGGTTTAGGGGTTTAGGGGTTTAGGGGTTAGGGGTTTAGGGGTTTAGGGGTTTAGGGGTTTAGGGGGTTTGGGGGGTTTGGGGGGTTTAGGGGGTTTAGGGTTTAGGGCTTAGGGAGCAGAGGCGAAGCATGTGAATCTCACAAAAGCCGACAAGCAAAGGAGCTTCATCTGTGTCAGATTGAGAGCTTTTTGGTATGTAGTCCCCCAGCTCTCGTGGGACCTTGTGGGGAAAGCTTAGCACAGCACGTCGATGATGGGAAACACGGACATCAACCTCCGAAAGTCGAGCTGTCATCGTCTGTCAGTCGCTGCACGCTGCGTGCTAAATCGATGACGCATTTTTCTTGCGTCATGCCTGCCCCGGTTAGCATGGAGCCCTAAGCCACAAGTTTCCCTTGCAACTTGTAGCCAGAAGAAGCTTCAAATCACCACAAAGCCCTAAACCCCTTCAACTCGACACCCTCCAACTCCAGGTTACAACCTTGCTCGAGGACGTGCTGTGGAGTGGGCCGTCGTGTGTCCGAAGCCCGGAGAGTCCCCACACACGGGTCTGGTGGTTGGGCGGTGAAGCGAAATTTTCGCCACATGTTAGGCTTATTGTGCTTTGGGGCTTCCGAAATAAGGCATCTCCAACTCGCACCTGGATTCCAGGGCTTTCTGCACTTAGGTAGACTCCACGCCACCAAAACCCAGCGGTTAACCCCAGGAACTCCAGTCCCTAATCCTTGGGCTCTGAGACGCAGCTTCTTTCTTCAGCTTGGAATCCTCTTTAGTACCTCTTCAGAATGCGAGAACTGCTGCTTGTCTGCTTCCAGAATCAGATGCCGCCTTTCCGCCTCAGTCCCAACACGGCAAAGCGTTGCTTCTGCGATTGTGTCTCGTGTCTCCCTTTGTTGAAGGCGGCGTGATCAGGACACTCAGAATTTCCTCGAGATCCAGATCTTGTCGCACGAACAAGTAAGATGCGCACGCGCGCCGTAGGACACCCTTGTTTCACGTCGCGTACTAAAGTGTCCTCGCGTGCTGCCCCTTCATAAGCCCTCTGCAAGGAAGTATGTGTGTACCTGCAGACTTTTCCATTCTTCAAGGGTGGGTTAAGGCTCGGTTGAGTTAGTTTTGGGAGTCCCGGCACCCTAACACTTCAAGGCCCCACAAACACCCTGAACATCGACCCTAAACCCTAAACCCTAAACCCTAAACCCTAAACCCTAAACCCTAAACCCTAAACCCTAAACCCGAAACCCTAAACCCTAAACCCTAAACACTAAACCCTAACCCTAAACCCTAAACCCTAAACCCCTGCACCCAAAGGATATGACGGGCCCGACCTTCAGCAAGAGGCGGCGCAGCGTCGAGCAGCCCCGTGGCTGAGCATGTGAGGGTTTACAAGAATTGGGGACCCCTAATTAGACTCCAAATCTATATCCCCCTTGTTTTGAGTATAGTCGTAGGAGTCCCTTGTAAAAGGGACCCCAGTAAGGTACCCCCAATTTTCGGAAGCCACCATGTCATGGGACACGTCTTGGGCCCGAAATTCCAAAGCCCTGTGTGTTTGGTCCTCTAGGCTTCGAGCCCAAACCACAAAGCATTGAGAGCTTCGGTGTCTTGATCTCTTATGGGAGGGTGTGAGTCTGAAAGCTACAAACGGGTATCCGGGGTGCTTTCTAGGGCTCTCAGTGCCCTTGGTGTCGGGATACCCCGGCTGCGACACCCTTCTGAGCTCCTCCTGGTGCGTTTTGCGCTGTCATCTCTCTGTTCTCCTGTTACTTCAGGCTCGGTAGATTGGCGGGTGACCTGAGCGAGCAGATGGACCAGGAGCCCAGAGACGAAGTCTCGAGGTTTTCGAGGTTGAGGCTTCGGCGTGAGCGATTTGGAGTTCCTTTTGGAAGCCGGAGGTCTGAGGTCAGGAAGTGCTTCTGCAAAAAGGAAGGCTGAGCAACTGCCTGCCCCCTTAACTCGAAAAAGCAAAGCCCCCCGCAAAAAAAAACCCAAGAGGGTCTTCCGAAGCCCCCAAAACCTTAGTAGTAGAGTAGGTAACCTTTAACCTGTTTGGGGTACTATAATCCCCTTATAATCCCAAAGGTTAACCTTTAGTTCCCCTAGGTACTGGACAACTAAGAAACGCTGGACTCCCAGACGCCATAATCAACAAAGAACCTCGTTTGTGTCAATCATCTACCTTTTCCCTTAGCAGCACCCCCTTGATGCTCCCCACGCATCTTAGAGATCGGCACCCTGGAGCCCTATGTAAACCTCTTATAGAAGTTCAGTAAGCGACCTAAACCAAAAACCCGAAACCCTACACCCTACACCCTAAACCCTAAGCCCTAAACCCGAAACCCTAAACCCTAAGCCCTAAACCCGCAACCCTAGACCCTAAACCCTAAACCTAAACACACCGCAGCCCCCGCAGCCTCAACCCTGAAACCAGGAATACACTGCACTGATGGCGTCCATAGACGAGATCCAAGCGCTGATGGAAGCGGAGGCTCCTACCCGAAGGGAAAGATCGGTTCATGACATCACTAGGGTTCATGGGTTGGGGTTTAGGGTTTAGGGTTTAGGGTTTAGGGTTTAGGGTTTAGGGTTTAGGGTTTAGGGTTTAGGGTTTAGGGTTTAGGGTTTAGGGTTTAGGGTTTAGGGTTTAGGGTTTAGGGTTTAGGGTGTAGGGTTAGGGTTTAGGGTTTAGGGTTTAGGGTTTAGGGTTTAGGGTTTAGGGTTTAGGGTTTAGGGTTTAGGGTTTAGGGTTTAGGGTTTAGGGTTTAGGGTTTAGGGTTTAGGGTTTAGGGTTTAGGGTTTAGGGTTTAGGTCTTGACCACTCTTCAAGAGCCATCGGACTTGGTGCAGCTCAGACGTCAGACAGCTTGGACGTACGGACTGATAACGGAACAGAAATCCTGAGTGCGCACGCGTGCGCCCAAGTCCTGGCTGAAGTTCACCCACAGGTCGCTGGCGACGCGCGGCTTCCTTCCATTGCCGAATGCTCAGAGCTTCCTTCCCTCTTTTGGTTTTCAGAGCAGTTTGAGGATAGGCTTGTGTTCCCAAACAGGTTCAGTTTCGGCTTTGAGCTTTGGATGGCATTGTCTTCATGGTTGTAAGTTTCGAGTTTTTCCTGTGCCATTTGCTTGACATATCCCTGCCATGTTCTGCCTAGTCTTGGGGCACCTCTCCAAACCCTAGGTCAGCTGAACTCATTTTGCTAGACCCAGCGCACTACTTGTGAACCCAGTTGCACGGTCCTCCTAGAGCGGCATCAAGCGAAAAACTGGTTGCGTAGCAGGAACAGAACTTTTTTGCCATTTCTGGAAATGCCAGCAACAGACACGTTCCGAAGTTGAAGAAGAGCGCATAAGAGCACATGGGGGTTTACGAAAATAGGAACCCTAAAATAGGCCCCCCAAATAGTAGGATCCCCTTAATAATAAGGACCCACATAAAGGTACCCCTAGTAAGCCCCCCGGTATAGAAGCACCCAGCATGAGGTATCCAACTTCGGGGATTTGTCCCGCCAAGCCAGGAAGAGCTCGAAGCCTTCACCGAGCGGATCGAGGTCGCCATCAGGAACCTTCAGGAGGCGCTCGCAAGAAGACTGGGACCCAGAGTAGGCCCTTATTGCCTTTTATGTTAGGGTTTAGGACCCCTTTAAAGCCCCTTTAAGCCAGAAAGGGTACGGTACCCTCTTGGGGGCGGGGGGGGGGGGGGCTCTAAAGGGCATTTGAGGGGATTAGAGGCTCTTGATTTCAGGTGTGTGTGGGTTTCGGGCTTGCTGCGCAGTAACAAATCACTGGGAGCGTTTGGTGCCGCAGCCCCATCCTCCCCCAAACCGACCATCCAGAACCTTGCAGGGGAAAACAGCCGAGCGGAAGACAAAAAGTAGACCGAACGACTCCAGCACCCGCCAGCCTGTCGGCTCTCCCTAAACCCTAAACCCTAAACCCTAACCCTAAACCCAAAACCCTAAACCCTAAACCCTAAACCCTAAACCCTAAAACCCTAAAACCCTAAAACCCTAAAACCCTAAAACCCTAAAACCCTAAAACCCTAAAACCCTAAACCCAAAAAAGGAAAGCAGCGGCCCAAAACGGCCCCTGCTCTAGGGATTGAGGAATGTTCTTTCAACCTGCTTTCCCCCCTGCTTCACTTGCCCCCCCACCCCACCGCTCCCCCACTCCCCCCCCACTCCGCTCCCCCACTCCCCCACTCTCTGTGTTAGCTTCACGTGTATCTTAGGATGTATGTGGGCAGAAACCTCCAAACCCAACCCCGAAAAATATAGCTTCAACCCTAAACCCTAAACCCTAAACCCTAAACCCTAAACCCTAAACCCTAAACCCTAAACCCTAAACCCTAAACCCTAAACCCTAAACCCTAAACCCTAAACCCTAAACCCTAAACCCTAAACCCTACCCTAAACCCTAAACCCTAAACCCTTTGGAGGAGACGAGGGTGCCTGCTTCCCCACGGGCTTCGCCTGGGGTGGCCGAGCCGCCGCGGGCACAGCGCCCACGCTGGATCCTCAGCTTGTTCCTTGGGGGAGCAAATGAACCTTAAAAGGGTTTAGGGTTTAGGGTTTAAGGTTTAGGGTTTAGGGTTTAGGGTTTAGGGTTTAAGGTTTAGGGTTTAGGGTTTAGGGTTTAGGGTTTAGGGGGTCGTATACCCTTTACTATGAAAAGCCGTATTAGGCTATATGAACCATAGACCCTTTTAGGGTTCACGTGGTCCAGAAGGGTTGAGGTGTACTCGGGAGCCGAGGTGCTTTGCTTTTCCCTTCCCCAAGATCTTGGGTTTAGGGTTTAGGGTTTAGGGCTGAGGTTTCTGCCTTTAAGGGAGCTGAACCCCCACTTAGACACGAAATCCAGTGTCAAGATACTATCACTAGAGTCGGAGCCCCTTTCTTTTTTGTAAGTCCTGAAGAATCTAAGGGAGCGAGGACGTGCCACTGGTTGTCGTTCAAAGCTATAAGGGTCCCAGATGATAGCATGAATAGCATGTGTGGCTTTCACCTTGATGCTCTGTCACTTCATCAAGGCGAGCAGGCAATGAAGCTGATAAAGATGCGTTTAGTTTCTGGTTAGTTTTGCTCGTTTATTTGGCACTTGGAAAACAAGCAGAAAGAGAACACAGCGCCGTTACCTACAGCATTGATGCCGTGCCAATGGCCGTTGTCAATTGAGTTTGTGCTTGCTTCGCAGGCTGGGCAGATCTCTCCGACTCGGAAGAGGACACGCCTCTGTTCGGGCTTCGAGTTTAGAGTTTCGGGGTCGCAATGAGTATGAGGCCCCGACCTTCTTGCAGGATTTGCGCCTTATGTGGCTTAGGGGGTTCGGGGCTACAGTTGGTTTAACAAGGTAAAAAAACACTCAAGCTGGAGAATGAAGGGTCCTAGCCATCCGCTGGTTCAGGCCGAGGCCTCTGCAGGCGCGAGCCCACGCAGACCCTACACATACGAGCAGCGCAGGCCCAAAGCAGTGCCAAGGCGCCCGAATCCGAAGCACATTCTAGGACCAGCGCGCCAAGACCCAAAAGTGATGACGGTTCTGCATTTTCGCGTGCTTGTCAGCGGGCCGCGAAGGGCAGATCCCTCTTCTCGGGCGCACGCGGACGCGCAAAGCGAGCACGGTTGCATTCTCGAGCAGCGCGGTCCTCATGGAACCATTTTACCTTCATGAGAAGGCACGCGTGTATCGCCCAATACATCTTCTGGTGACCACCTTAGTTGGGGTTTGACCCTAAACCCTAAACCCCAAACCCTCAACCCTAAACCCTAAACCCAGTAGGCGTTAGTGCGCCACAGAGCGGAGGATGGAGCCCGTTGCAGCCTGAGACCGGGAATAAGCATGTGGGCATATTTTCCCAAAATAGGGGTACCCCTAACGTACCCCCAAATGCTTTAATCCTTATGATAGGATCCCCCCAAAAAAGGGTACCCTATTCTCTGAAAGCCCATAATATAGCGGTCGGAATCATAACTACTAGTCTTCCCTTATGGCCCCTAGAATGATTATATTAGAAGTGCCCCCTAAACCCTAAACCCTAAACCCAAGGCCCTTCTCTGATGATTAAGACCACTATAGTATGCCAAGGGCCCCTGAAATCTCAAGCAACCCGCCAGGACGTGCCCGAGAGCTGCGCTATACAGGAGCCACCAAGCTTTTGGCCAAAACTCCTCAACTGAACCCTTGTACAATACCTAAGTCCTAAAGCCCTAAAACCCGAAACCCCGAAACCCCGAAACCCTACACCCTAAACCCTAGCCGAGCGGTTGAAGCAGAAGGACCTGAGCTCCTTGATTGGCTGAATGTTGCTTCACTTCTCTACATTGTGGGATTATAGTGGTTTTTGCCTGGAGGGAATGCAGGTACCGCGGGCTTCCAGAGGTGGCTGCTGTAAGTGATCATGATAGTGATCCATGTGGTTTTGGTCTTGAGGTCCCCAAAGCTTAGCCCAATTCCCATACAGCAAGATCTTATTCACCTCAAACCCCTAAACCCTAAACCCCAGACCCCAAGGTCAGCCCCCTGACATCCCTTCAACGACCCCTGAAGCAGCTCCGCAATGCGAGTGGCAGGAGCGCGGCGCCAAGCTGCAGCCAGCGGTGGCTCAGTGTGGAAGGCACCAGAAAGGGGGATCGCAAGCCCGCAGCCCTTCACCAGCAGCGCCTGCAGCCGAAGACTTCCTCCCGAAAGCCAGGTCCCTGAGTCCTCCGCAAATTTTGTTTGGCTTCTGATTGCATCCCCCCTTTAACCCTCCTCTAGGGCATTGCGAGAATCATGAGACAGTGTCCTAGGGGCTTGAGATTTTTGGAGTGCTAGGTGCGGTCGTCATCTCGACAAGTCCTGCTTCAGCCGCCGGGCCTGGCGGCAGGTGCGCTGGGGATGGGTTTCGGGATTCGGGCAACGCGGCAGCGCCTAGAAACTAAAGAGGAGGCAACTCGCGGTTTCGCTGAAGGATTTCAGCCCCATCTTGGCCGTTTTGACCATCTTGGCCGTTTGCGACGGGAATCGGGGAATGTTGTTGGAATGTTGGGGATGTGACGCAGGGAGCTGGGCTTGGGTTGCAGAGTCGCAGAGCTAAACTGCATCCCTGAGATCGAATATTTAGGCACGTGGACCATGTCTCAAAGCCTTCAGTCGGGCCCCATTCATGTTGACTTTGTGTCCTGTGACACAAGACACCTCGGCATTTGCGCTTTGGCCGCAGCAATGCCACCTAAGTCTCCGCGTGAGATTGTTTTAGGTGGTTCCATGCTTGGAGCGCGGCAAGCTGCGCGCCAATACTCCCAGCCCCCAAACCTTGAGACCCATACGAGTTTAGGGTCTAGGGTGGAGAGTTTTAGGTTCTTTTGGGGGGGTGAACCGTAAACCCTAAACCCTAAACCCCAAACCCCAAACCCCAAACCCCAAACCCTAAACCCTAGACCCTAAACCCTTGGTTTGGGGTGTTTTATTTTGCGGGGTTCAGCATGAAGGGCTGGGTTTTGGAGTACTACACTTTAATATACTTTTTTTGGTTCTGGGTTCCTATAATAGCTACTTATACCTAAAAAGTATATACTTTTTTTCCAGGGTCTACTCCAAAGCTAAGAGGGTGTTCACCAGACTGTACCGAAGAGGTGCGTGGCAAGGGCAGCCAGGGCCTCCGCCTCCCCAACAGCCGCGGGCCTTGGAACCTTGCTGGGTTTAGGGTTTAGGGTTTAGGGTTTAGGGTTTAGGGTTTTGGGTTTAGGGTTTAGGGTTTAGGGTTTAGGGTTTAGGGTTTAGGGTTCAGGTTTGGGGTTTGGGGTTTAGGGTTGTGGGGTTGATAGGGTGGATAGGGTTTGTAGAGTTTACAGGGTTTTGTCGGGTTTATGGGGTTTGACAGGGTTTGACAGGGTTTATAGGGTTTATGGGGTTTTTACAGGGTTTATAGGGTTTATAGGGTTTATAGGGTTTATAGGGTTTATAGGGTTTATAGGGTTTATAGGGTTTATAGGGTTTATAGGGTTTACAGAGTTGAGAGGGTTTATCGGGTTTATAGGGTTTATTGGGTTTATTGGGTTTGTAGGGTTTCAGCTGGCCTTGTAGTGGTTTGGAGCACAAAGGTTAAGGCTTTGGCGGGCGTTGGGTGGTTGAGGGCCGCAATATCGTAAACCTCAGGGCCAACATCCCCAACAAAAGCCCTCAACTCCTATCAGGTAATAGGGATTACAGTACCCCCTACTATAACAGGATGGGCTGTTAGGCCCTATAACCCCCATAAACAGCCCTATAAAGGCCCTTTCTTTGGGGTTATAGGGTCTAATAGCCCGTCCTGGTAACCCCTATTAAGGACTGTTAGTATATGGGGGAACATCCCAGCCCTCAACCCTAAACTTTTCAGCTTGTGCATGTCGCAGGCTTTTTGGGTCCCAAGACTCCACCCTAAACCCCAAGCCCTAAAACACTAAACCCCAAACCCTGAACCCCAGACCCTAAACCCTAAACCCTAAACCCCAAACCCTAAACCCTAAACCCTAAACCCCAAACCCTAAACCCTAAACCCGGTTCCTGGCCTCTGAGGCGCGCACTGCCGTGAATGTAGCGGCCGAGCTTAGGTGGCGGGAATGATGCCCTCTCGGGTTGTGTAGGATTTAGGGTTTAGGGTTTAGGGTTTAGAGTTTAGGGTTTAGGGTTTAGGGTTTAGGGTTTAGGGTGACCAGATGACTTGAGTAGTGTCACAGTGCTCAGAGTTTAGGCTGCCTGGTTCAGGGTTGAGGGTTCAGAGTTCAGGCTGAGTGCTTGGCGGCGCTTCGGGCTTGGTCTTGGGGCTTTGCCTTTGCTCTTTTCAAGTCCAAGGCTCTTGAACCCTGTTGGTGAAGAAGTAGGGCTTCTGAAAGTTTCTGTGCATAGGCTTAGGGTTTTGAGGGTTTCTGGTGTAGGGGCTGTAAGAACTACGGAGCCCTCAGAACCATTGGGAATCCATAAAGTCTGGGCCCTAGAAGGTCTTTGGGGTTTTGGGGCTTGAGGGCGCTTTAATGATGAATCTCCAGTTTGGCCTCAGGATTTGTGAGCGTGTAGGGGTCTTGGGTGCAGGGTTTAGTGCCTCACGTGCTTCGGGTTTTAGCTTGGCTTGGGCTTCAGAGTGTCAATGTACACCCGCTGACCGCAAATAGCGGATGGCGGCGCAATCCGTGGCTCCTCAAAATGCTTCATAGACACGAAGAGCTCAGAAGCCATCGGCGACAGAATCATACAGGACATGGATTTGGGCGTTCTGATGATGATGATGATTATGATTTCTACTTCTACTACTACTACTACTACTACTACTACTACTACTACTACTACTACTACTACTACTACTACTACTACTACTACTACTACTACTACTACTACTACTACTACTACTACTACTACTACTACTACTACTACTACTACTACTACTACTACTACTACTACTACTACTACTACTACTACTACTACTACTACTGCTTTTTTTTATTATTACCAGTATTACCAGTATTACCATTATTATTATTATTATTATTATTGGTATTATCATTTCCTATTATTATTATATTATTATCATCATCATTTCTAGTATTATTATTGTTATTATTATCATGTCTAGCACTATGACTATTTCATTTTTATTTTTAGTAGGCAGTTTAGGGCCCATGCGTTGATCGGACTAGTTGCGGGACAGAGCTCGATGCCATTGTTTGGGGTTTGTGGGTTTGAGGAACCGCCACTTTCCAGATCCGGCCCTGGTGTGCTTGGCTTTTTCACTGCGGGGGCTTTCGTACAACATCTTATATCCTCAACATGCCAGGACCCTGCACCCTTAACCCGAAGCCTCGCGATCAGAAGCCCTTCAAGGGCCTGGGCCTAGACCCTCCACAAACTAGCTGCTCAGTTTAGGCCAGTTTTGAGTCCCGGTGAGCTTTGAAACCTCCACCCCCAACCTCACTTTCAACTTTAGAGGCGCAAGAGTCAAACCCCAAATCGCCCCCTCTGCATCTGAAACCCCGCAGCTCCGAGAGTTGGACAGAGTTCGAAAGTGCCTCAAGCCAAGCGGTTCAATGCGGTTCTCGCTTCAGGCCTTGTCCCATAGCAGGGGGTCCGTGCCAAGACTTCTGTGGAGCAGCCCAGAGCAGGCCTTCTGAAGTTTCAAAGCCCAGGCCTTACGGTTTTGGGTTTAGGGTTTAGGGTTTAGGGTTTAGGGTAGGAGTCACCATTCCTCTGAAGTCAAGTCGGTGAAGCCGTCTCGCCCTCCCTACTTTGGCACAATTCAGGGCTTAGGAGGTGTAAGGCCAGGCCCTGTACCTTACACCCTCAGGTCTTTGGCACACCCCAAGCACGCAGTTCTCACCCCAAGCACAGGTCTTTTCTGATGCCAGTTTCGATTTTCGCCGCGCCGGCGGGGGAAAAATGCCTTCCCAGTCTTTGCGGTTTGGACAGCCTATCGCAACATGCACGTGGAGCTCCGCACCCGGACACCTGTACGAATCAAGGGCCTTGGCCCTTAAGTCACCTGGCCCTTAAGTCACCTTCCGAAAGGTCCAGAAGTTCTCTAACGCGTCCATGAATCCACAGTGTTGCAGGTTTTTCTTTTGGGGTTGACGGTCCCACTACTGCCCGCGACGTCAACTCACACAGTGCTGCTTGCACTGCTTGATCAGCTTGATCATGCCATGTCACACACTGGCTGCTGGCTCGAGTCGTTGAAAGTCGGAGGCTTCCAGTTTCGACAGCACAGAAGACTGAGCTTCATTGCAGACCCCAAGTCACCCCGAAAGCCCAAGGGCGAATGCTACTGAAACAAGTAACCCCCGAAGCCCCAGGCTGTGGTGACCTCGGCCTCAGGCCCTCAATAGGCCGAAGCAGCGCAGTGACATTTCAGGCGGTGGCTTCTTGTTTAGGGTTTAGGGTTTAGGGCTTAGGGTTTAGGGTTTAGGGTTTAGGGCCTGGGGAGCTGAAGGGTGCTTTAGGGCTTGGCAATTCTTCTACAGCCTTAGGCTTTGGGACTTCGGGTTCTCTGCGCGATGGCGGACGATGTGTCCAGTCGGAGACACAGACGGATTGAAAGTCCAAAGGTTGAAGAGGGTTTAGGGTTTAGGGTTTAAAGCCCCATGCTGGTTTCTGAGTGCTGCTTCTAACATTGGGGACTTTTCCAATCAGGGGTGCAGAGGGGTGTCTAGGTATAGGGGGGGCAATTGGGGGGGGGGGGGGGGGGGGGGGGTAGAGGGGGGGGAGCAAAGGGAGTGGGAAAAGGGGGCGGGGCGAGTGGGGGGGGGGGGCACAGTGGGGGAGTGTCCTGGCTTCAAGCTGACCTAGGTGACCCCATTGTCAAGGCATTGCAGAAGAGCACGATCGCCCAGACGTTGAAGGTCCTATGCGGCATCTAAGCTGTGCCTACACTGAAAATCTAGTGTGGCTGTTGTTGTGAAGGTCTGCTCGAAGGGAGCCACTTGTGAACACATCCTGGGAGGGTTAAAGGTTCAGTCAGGGATGCGTTGACCGACTGCCAATGTCTTGTCTTGTGGGGGTGGAGGCAGATATTTGTTGGAGTGTGTGGAGGAACCCCCCAAAATGTTCATAAACCTGTGGGGGGAGGGGTCGGAGTGGCGCTTTAGAAGCATAACACGAAGGGTGAGGCCCAACGTGTCAGGTGGGCGAGTTCGATGTGCAAAATGGCCCCCGCCGGTGAAGAAAAATGAATAGCTTTCGCCGCTTTCAAACCCCCATCCAAAAGTCCTTGGTGAATAGAGGAGGGTGACAGGAGAACTTTCCTGAACCCTTGCAAGCCAAGAACAACTCTGCAACATGGAACAGAGAACGTGAAGTCAACATAATATATATATATATATATATATGTATGCATATATGTATATATATATATATATGTAGATGTGTGTGTATATACATATATATCTATACAGCCCTCGGCCCATTCCTAATCTCCCAGGGAAACTTGCAGACCTTATGCCTGCACCATTGTTGGGGCGCCATTTAAACATGATCATGTTCGTTCTTTACTGAGTTTAAGTATTCATAAAAATGGGAAAACCCCGTCTCTGCAAAGAAGCCTTCGCGTGCAGGCTGCCCGCGCCTCCTTGGCAGAGCCCTCGCGGCCCTACACGCCTCTGGACAGGTGACTCTGACGACTGCGGCTTTTTCCAGGTGTTTGCAAGGTTTGCTGTTCTGTTCCTTGCAGGTACAGTCACGGCTTTGAGTACTAATTGCCCTGTGCAACGCCAGAAGCTGCAATCCTGAATGTCCCGACCTTGATCCGAATTATGGTTGCACATCACGGCCTTTTCGCTTTACAGAGTTCATGGCGTTTAGGGTCGTCTAGGGGCTTTAACCTTAAACCCTAAACCGTGCCCTTCCCTGAATTCCCGAAGGTGTCCCTACATATGTTTCGGATCCGGAGTTGCTTCCCCTAAAACCCCGTCGCCGGCATTGTCACAGGTCGCTGTTCCAGCGCCCAAACGAGGGAAGCGATCCCAGGCAACGTGGGCTTTTTAGGGTCCCTAGCTTTTGCCAGATCTGAGCTGCGGGGGGGGGAAGGGGCGGGGGGGTGGTTGCTGCAGCCCCCCCCCCCCTTCTTGCAAGCCATGTAGCGCTTGGTAATTCACAGCAGTGCATATTTCCAGGGCGCGCGTCGGATTGCAAAATAGCAGTTGACAAGCTGGAAAACACTTCAAAGTGCTGTTGTTTGCAGCATGCCGAAACGCCGTCACCGTCGGGCGTGTGTGGTGTTGGCCTGTGAAGATTTAGGTTAAAGGTTTTAGCACGGCTGAGAAGCCGCGAACTGACCCGAGCGCAGGCCCTCTTCCAGCTATGGTGCCCAGCCCTCGACTTTTCTGGTGGGCTTCAGGAACCCGAAATTCAAGGTTTGTTGGGTTGTTTTGCTCGAAACGCGGCAGGCGCTCTTTCTTGCCGCTGCTGCTTCGTCGTTTATAAACCCTAAACCCTAAACCCCAAACCCCAAACCCTAAACCCTAAACCCTATGATTCGATCCTGCGTACAAGCATGGATGTTTCTCTCCTTCTGAGCCCGGAACCTCCATACGGAGCTTAGGGTGCATGAGTTTTTCAGATTCTGCCCTAAGGTTTAGGGTTTGGGGTTTGGGGTTCAGGGTGTTGGGTTTAGGGTTTAGGGTTTGGGGTTCAGGGTTTAGGGTGTTGGGTTTAGGGTTTAGGGTTTAGGGTTTAGGGTTTAGGGTTTAGGGTTTAGGGTTTAGGGTTTAGGGTTTGGGGTTCAGGGTTTAGGGTTTTGGGTAGAGGGTTTGGGGTTCAGGGTTTAGGGTTTAGGGGTAGAGGGGTAGGTCTTGAGCTCGAGCCTCTCCCTAAAACCTTGACACCCCCAAGCCCACTTAAGCTCAACTCCTAAACCCTAAACCCTAAACCCTATAAACCCTAAACCCTAAACCCTAAACCCTAAACCCTAAACCCTAAACCCTAAACCCTAACTCTCCGAAGCTAGGTCGACCAGTTGGCCTTCGTGAGGGACACCTTCGGGAATTCAGGCAAGGAGTTTAGGCAGTTTAGGGTTCGGGTTTAGGGTTTAGGGTTTAGGGTTTTGGGTTTTGGGTTTAGGGTTAGGGTTTAGGTTTTGGGGTTTAGGGTTTAGGGTTTGGTCCTATGTACTCAAGCCGGATTTGGAGGGGTTGAAAGTATACCGTTCTTCTTCAGGGCAGTCTAAAGTTGCTTTGGCCGAGGGTGGCAGTGTTGGTGAAGAGTTCTGTCGGAAGGCAAGGAGATTTTGGATCATCTTTCAAAAAACGCCAGATCTTCCAAAACCCCTTAATGAAGGTATATACCCTAATTCATAATAAGGATCCTTAGTATATATTAGGGTATATACCTTACTTGAGAGGTTTTGGATCATCTTTTTGCAGAAGGTTGGGCTTAAAGTGTTCGGCTCAAGGCGCTTTTGCCGTTTTCTACGTTGTTTGGCTGCCGATCCGACCTCAGCTCCACAGGGGGTTTAGGGTTTAGGGTTTAGGGTTTAAGGTTTAGGGTTTAGGGTTTAGGGTTTAGGGCGGAAACACCAACGCCGAGAGAGGGTCGTCGATTTCGACACCTCGCATGCTTGCGAGAGTGCCGCCGGGAAACACTGTCTCCTGACCCTTATTCTACAGGAACCCCATAGTGTGAGTGTTCGGGGGAGTACGTCATACTTGAACTTTCAAGACCCTCAGAATACTTGGAGGTTAATGGTACTTATTAACCAATTACAACTGTACTTATAACCCAGTCATAAGCCCCTTAAGTGCCCTAATATGGTCGTAAGTACAGCGACAAGTACAGTTATAATTGGTCAAGAAGTACCATGAACCTCCAAGTAGGGCATCCCTAAACCCTAAACCCTAAACCCTCAACCCTAAACCCTAAACCCTAAACCCTAAACCCTAAACCCCAAGTTGCAGGTCGGCCGGAATCCGCGCGCTCGTCCAGGCTCTGGATGAAGGGTGGGGGCTTGGGGCTGTTTCTGTGGGATGCGGAGGGTTGTCAAAGCAGCCCTAATCCCGAAACCGAAGCCCTAAACCCTAAACCCTAGCCCTAAACCCTAAACCCTAAACCCCAAGCCCTGTTGCGGGCTGCAAAATGGCAGCATGATTGGAGAGGACCCCAAACCCTAAACCCTCAACAGCTCGTGGTTGAGTGTACCAAGCCTCAGTTTCAGGACCCTTTCGTTTTTGGGTACCCTCGCTGCGAAGTAGGATGGGGTTGTCCACCCAAGCCAGCCCCTAAAGTAGAGCATCTTTCTGGTTTAGGGTTGTTTTCAGGGCTTACCCAACCACATACGATCAGGGTGCCCTCCCTCCCCCCCCCCCCCCCCCGCCCCCAAATGGTCCCTCCTTTCTGTGGCGTGGGTTTAGGCACGTGCGCGCATAGAGCCTTTTGTCCACATCACAGTGGTCGAGCGCATGCTCCAATGCTCCAACTAACGCTGCTGGTGGCAGTGCTTCCAGCATGTGTGAGCTAGGGATCTTGAATCCTGAGGTTTCCGAAAGCCCGTAGGGATCCGACAAGTTGCAAGCCTCTTCTGAAACCTTTCCAGGTGGAACTTCAGCAACAAGTGTTTTATTGTGGTCGGACTCATGCTGTAGTGAAACAGAAAGAGGCTGGAACATTGGCGTGGGTTTTGGGTTTAAGGGTGTGGGGTTTGGGGCACATCTCATGCCAAACCCCTCAAGCACAGAGCAAGTGTGGGCGGTGGGCCAGGTCTTCCCGCACCCGGCCGGACACCATCGCCGAGGAGGAGGATGTAGCCCACTCACCGCAGATCCTGCGGCTGGATGGGGAGGCAACGGTTTAGGGTTTAGGGTTAAGGGCCCCAAACCCTAAACCCTAAGCCCTAAACCCTAAGCCCTAAGCCCTAAGCCCTAAACCCTAAGCCCTAAACCCTAAACCCTAAACCCTAACCCTAAACCCTAAACCCTAAACCCTAAACCCTAAACCCTAAACCCTAAACCCTAAACCCTAAACCCCCTAAACCCTAAACCCTAAACCCTAAACCCTAAACCCTAAACCCTAAACCCTAAACCCTAAACCCTAAACCCTAAACCCTAAACACTAAACCCTAAACCCTAAACCCTAAACCCTAAACCCTAAAACCCTAAACCCTAAACCCTAAACCCTAGCTGAGATGAGCCTCAGGATCGACAGCAGGGTTCTACACAGCAGTTCGTAAAGATTTTGTTGGTACAAAAACTCCCTAAACCCTAAACCCCAAACCCCAAACCCTAAACCCTAAGTGCATTCAAAGGTTCCCAGGTTTAGGGCTTCCGTATATGCTGCCTGCAGTTCGTGTGTATGTTTCCTCGGGGTCTGCAAACGACACATACAGTATGCATGGTCGGCGCTTGTTGGGGGTGCGTCATAAACATTGGCGTGACCAAAGTGGTCATGTCAAGCACGGCTACGATACATCTAACAGTTGCTAGGCGACTGCAAGTACTCTGCCCGACTCCTGACCCGAGCCACTTAGCCTTGTGACGGCGCGCCGGAGAAAGCACCTCATTTTTGTTAAAGTTGATTTGGGATAGTTTAAGTTATTAAGGGTATAAACCCAGACCCAAAACTGCTAGAGCCCGATCGCAGAGGGTTCATCTGTAAACTCAGGCAGTGAGGTCAGACCTTAAATAACTTTCATTAAGGTTCTAAGTGGGGTTCAGAAGCCCCTGAATTACGTACCCCCCCGAAAGCCCCTGAATTGCCCTGAAAACCCTAAACCCTAAAGCTAAACCCTAAACCCTAAACCCTAAACCCTAAACCCTAAACCCTAAACCTTAAACCCTCAATTGCCCCGAAAGCAACGTGCCAGGGAGGGGAGAGCAGCGGCAGCGAAGAGTTGACGCCAGTCGTCGGCCTGGCGGCCCAAGAAATTGAGGGTTGTAGGGCCCAGAAAAAGGTTAGGGTTTAGGGTTTAGGGTTTAGGGTTCAGAGTTTAGGGTTTAGGGTGTAGGGTTTAGGGTTTAGGGCTCCGAAGAGTTTGGGGTCTATAGGGTGTCTGGGTCAGGGGGGGGAGGGGTTAGGAGTGCTAAGGGTTGAAGTTTGAGGTTGAGGGTTTAGGGATGCGTGGTGCTCAGGACTCAACGACGTTTTTTTCGGACGTTAGGGTTTAGGGTTTAGGGTTTAGGGTTTAGGGTTTAGGGTTTAGGGTTTAGGTTATAGGTTAAAAGGTTTAGGGGTCAGCGCGTATCAGTTGGCCCTTTGCGGCTTTGCTTCTCTGGAGCCCCATGGTACCGGCTTGCCCTTTTTTGTTCTAGGTTCCCTTTTGTTAAGTAACCAACCGCAAACCCTGAACCCTGAACCCTAAACCCTAAACCCTAAACCCTGTAGAATCTGGTTTCTGGGCTACCAAGAACACTAACGGACCAGCAGTGCTTCACCGACGCAAGGAGCTCCCAACGGCCTACTCCACGTTGAGGGTTTAGGGTTTCGGGCTTAGGGTCCAGGGGTTCAGGGCTTAGGGTGCGGGGTTTAGGGTTTAGGGCTTGTAGGGCTTAGGGCTTAGGGTTTAGGGTTTATGGTTCAGGGTTTAGGGTTTAGGGTTTAGGGCTTCTTCAGGGTTCGGTCTCGGACTCCTTTCCCAAACCTTCCCACTCTCAGCTACGCCCTCGCCGCCGGCTCCATCAAGGGGCCCCCCAAAGCCTCCGAGGCTCCAGCAACAGTTGTTTTTTTGGTTTTGTTTTTTGTATATGCATATATATATATATATACACATGTTTTTTAGTTTTTTTTTTTTTGGGGGGGGGGAGGGTTCCGGACTTTGGGTAGGAGACCTGGGTTTCGGAGTTTCAGACGAAGGACAGAAGGGAAAGGAAGCTTGGGTTTTGTTAGGCACTTTCTTGTGAAAAGAGGAGGATGTAGATGGTATTCGCAAATTCAGAGAGCAGTGTGAACCTCGGCCATCTCATCTGTGCTTCGCTTCTCCATGAAGGCGCCGAACTACGGGCAGCTCATGCTGAGCCGAAATGCTCGTAAACAAACCCTAAACTCAAGTCTTGTACCAGTGCAGCACATTTTATTTTTCAACACCCGGAAGCCCTAAAGCCCCACAAAGAGGCACCGAATCTCCGAACGCTGCCTTGAACCCCACTGCACCCTGCGCGATCTCACTGTCAGGCCACCAGGCAGCGCCGGCTACCCCAACATCTCGGCGTTGCGGCTTCCTGGCAGCAAGCAGCGGGCCACCTTCTTCTTGAGTTCAGGCTTAGATGTCTGTTATTTAGGGCTTCAAGGTTGCGTTTCCACGTAGGGTCAATGCCGCGAACGTTGCATTCCTCTCACCTTTTCGGAGGCGCAGTAGACTCCCCTCGCAATGCTTGCTCTCTCGACAGCCACGACAACTCAGCTTCACCATTTTGACAAAGGCCTCCACCACAAAGAAGTTTCTCCAGCGCACAAGGACAGGGCTTACCAGTAGCAAGAGCATGGAACCAGAGCCTGCAGAGTACTCTGCCTTCCCTAAAAAGACTCGCAACTTCACTTCATGCCTGGGATACATGCGACAACCGAACCTTGTGACAGTTGAACTTCCAAAGCCCCTGAACCCGAAATTCCTGAGGTCCAGCGGCGGCTATCCAGATCCCCTAGGGGCCACTGGCCAAGTGCGCCAGGTTTGGGGTCAGAGTTTCTACGGCTCCAGGTTTTGGGGTGCTTAATTGTAAACGCTTGCGCGCGCCACAAAATTTTGCATGATGGGGGGGGAAGGGTTGGGTTAGGGGGAAGGAGGCCCGATCCGGGTCTGCTTGTTCCAGACGCTTCTCGGCAGGAAGCCGAGCCGAATTAGTATTCCCTTGTGGTCCCTATATAGCACCCAAAGCCGTATTCTCATCCTTGTAGTAGGGGGTTACAGCCTTCAGAACTTTAGCTTTTGGTTTTTGAGTACAGGGCCGGCCCTTCTCGAGCGGCGAGGTTGTCTTACGGAGTCTTGCGGCTCTGGCTCTGAGGGCTTTGTGTCTTTAGGGCTCAGCTGGGGCTCAAGGGCTTGGATGTTAAAGTTTGTTCAATTCAGGCGGCTTGATCCTGTCCTATAAGGATCTTTTTAACCCTACACCCTTTCAAGTATGAGTCGAAATCCTTTTTTTGATACCCTCGAAGAGATTACATAGGGTACCTCAGTCCCCCATTCCCTGCTAACCGCTAACCAACAGCAAGACGAAACCCTAAACATCCAAACCCCTACACCCTAAACCCTAAACCCCTAAACCCTAAACCCCTACACCCTAAACCCTAAACCCCTAAACCCTAAACCCTAATCCCCACAACCAGGTCACCGATGCCTCGCCCAGACGATCCTCGGCAACCTCTGCCGCCTCACGGCATCCGGTCCCACCTCAAAAGTTTAGGGTTTAGGGTTTAGGGTTTAGGGTGCCCTTAAACTCAAGGCCCGAAGCGCTATCCTCGAGGCCTACCTGATACGGCCTAATACCTCAACCCGAAAACCATCCCGTCTGAAGCAGCAGACGCAGTATTGAGAGGGGTGTTGGCGGCCTTTGGGTTCATGGTTTGGGGTTTAGGGTTTAGGGTTTAGGGTTTAGGGTTTAGGGTTTAGGGTTTAGGGTTTAGGGCTGAGGGTTTTGCGATTTGAGGTGTTGACTCTGGGCGAAACACTTGCTGCAAACCCGGAACACCAGGATACCTAGAACCCCGACTCCTACTATGCGGGCAAACCCCAAACCCGAAACTCTGAAACCCTAATTTAAAAAGCATGAACCCCATAATATCCCCAGAAAGTCTGAGCAGCCCTGAAGTCAAGACAAAAAACGCTCCCCCGGCGAACCCCCGAAACGCTCCCAAAACCCAGCGCTGCAAGCTGAGTCTTGTCCATTGGGAGTGACAGGGGGAATAAGAGCTGGAAGCTTCCGTGCAGGAGTTCGAACCCTAAACCCTAAACCCTAAGCCCTAAGCCCTAAGCCCTAAACCCTAAACCCTAAACCCTAAACCCTAAACCCTAAACCCTAAACCCTAAACCCAAATTAAGCCTAAGAAGTATGCGCCGTGAAATGTCTGAGGCCTCCCCCAGGAGGCGGCTTGCGGACGGATCTCCGCGGAGGCGGAAGGCACGACGGATGGTCTGTTTTTGTGAGGGTGCTAAACCCGAAACCCGAAACCCGAAACCCTAAACCCTAAACCCTTCACCCTAAACCCTAAACCCTAAACCCTAAACCCTAAACCCTAACCCTAAACCCTAAACTCCCTAAACCCTAAACCCTGTTAAGTGTCCTCTGACAGTCTGAGCCTCTGGTTTGCTCCCGTGGTTTCCTTTGGTTCGCGCCCGGTCCTGTTGGTGTCCCATGCCTTAGGGTTTAGGGTTTAGGGTTTAGGGTTTAGGGTTTAGGGTTTAGGGTTTAGGGTTTAGGGTTTTAGGGTTTAGGGTTTTAGGGTTTTAGGGTTTTAGGGTTTTAGGGTTTAGGGTTAATGGTCGTCTCGGTCTGTTTGTGTTGTGCATGGTGCAATGTGTGGAAACCTGGGGCGCTCGGCTGCGGCGCATGATGTTTCGTACGAAGCTGTCACTGATTCGGTCAAGGTGCGTCGTCTCGTCATCCGCTCCCTCCCAATTCCTCAAGGGATCGAGGAGCCTCCCCCACCGCCGATCACTCGGTTTGCAATGACAGGGAAAACACAAGTCAAGAAGAAAGAAAACCACAAGTGAAACTCCTACCCAATCTGGAAGAGGCGCCCTGGACCGTGATTGGATGCATTGCACAAAGCCGTTCATGCCGTCCTCCAAGAATTGTTGGGGGTGGGTTCTACCATCATCCCCAACTGCCCTTTAACCATAATAGTAGGGAATATCAGTCCCCTTTACTGCGAGATTTGCGCTACCCACCGTGGGCCCTCCGTTATACAGCTTCCGGTACAGCTTCCGGTACAGCTCCGTTACAGCTCCTTAAGCTCCGTTGCAGCCCCGCGCCAAATGTGTTTGCAAAACGTGGGTGGGGGGGGTGGGGGGGGTGGGAAGGAGTGCACGGCTGTGAGCACATGCCTCAATGAGCAGAACCATCCGAGAGTTCGGTTTCCTCCCCGGCTTATTTAGACGTGCACGAAGACTTCGAGACGTGGTGTCTTACCGCGATAGCTGTGGGGTCAAATCACAGCAGGCTGCCCAAGACCTTGACGACACAGTCGACAGAGAGTCCTCCACCCCCAAAAATAGATTGCCCTCATAAGGAACTTAGGAACAAGATGTTTTCTTTCTTGGGGGGCT